GGATTTTTTTTTTTTTTTTTATAACTAGAGTTAATTTGGAAAAAGATGGTATGGTTAGTTGTTAGTGGATGAATAGTGAATTAAAGTTGATGTGATGTGTAAGAATGATTGGTTTGTATTATTTAATTATATGAATAATATTAAGGATAGTGTGGTTGAGTTAAAAGTTGAACTAAATTTTGAGTATGAATTAAATGTGAGTAAAGCCTGACATGTACCACTTAGAACTGAAAAGTATTCAAAGTTAGACATACAAAAGAATGACAATATATCATCATAACCCACAGGAGCTCTGTGAAGACATCGGCTCCCTAGTCATCATGCAGCTATCCGAGAATGCCCTTGAGGGTGTCCTCCAATCGTTCGGCTCCTACGTCAGCACCATGATCAACGCATTCCTAGCCTCGTTTGAGACCGAGAATCGAGAAGGTTCTGGAAGAAAAATAGTCAAACTTGCTGAGACAGAGACCCAGCAGATTGCCCTGCTAGCAAACGCTCTATCCCTAGCAGACGAACTCTTACCACGTGCGGCCATTAAGCTCTCATCCTTCGCCAGAAATGACGAGAAGGGCCTGAAGCAGAGGGAGCTGAAGAGAAGGCTTCAGAGGCTGGTGGAGCAGCTGAGGGACAGCTTTTGCCGCCAGCATGCGCTCGACCTCATATTCACTGAAGATGGTGGGGTTCGTTTGAATGCTGAGATGTATTTGTGCATGGATGATGGTAGAGGTGAGCCTGAATGGTTTCCATCTCCAGTTTTCCAGGTAATAATTGATCGATTTGAAGTTTGTTCTTTTATTTTTTTTTTCTTTTTCTTTCTCTGCGGAGTTCTTGAGAGAGTGAAACATGTTAATATGATTGTGTGAAGCAAAATAAATGGTGTGTTGTTAAAGTGGTTCTGGAGAAAATTGGCAATAAACTGACTGATTGCTGTAATGTGAAGATATCCAGAATGATTATTTTTCAAAATGAAAAAAGAAAGGAATAGTACAGCCTAGAGAATAGCTTCCTTTTAAAATTATTATTACATTCACGTAATTGAACTTTGTTGAGGACAACAAACACATTCTGTTAAATGAACACTCCAAAATTGGACAAACACAGAAGGCCGTCCCTAAAGTTAAACTATCCGAAGAAGAAAACTTGAAAGATGTTAGAATATTTGTGTATATATTTTATAGTTAGATTATTCATTATTGTGCATATCTTCTTATTACATATTGCTTTGATTTATCTTTCTATGGTAGGTACGTTGTATATAGTCGGTCCATATTGTATTTTGATTTTTTTCCCCACTATAAATACTGGAAGTTTATACTACACCATACACAATAAGAATCAATAAGAAATTGTCTTCTCCTTCATCCGATTTTCTCTGTTCTCTCTAAAAGAAAAAAAAAATTGTTGTTTTGATACAACTTTCTCATTATGGATTCTAAAACTAAATCTTCTTTGGGAACGACCGACAAACTCAACGGTTCTAACTATATTTTGTGGTCAAAAGCTTTCAAACTCTTTCTCAGGTAAATTAAATCATATTCTATCTTCTGCTCCTGATTCGAAAGATGACATGCCACTTTGATGCAAGCAGATTTTTCTGTCATGACTTTTGTCAATAGCATGGAAGAATATGTTAGAAGCAATATTATGTTTTTAAACTCTGCGAAAGTGATTTTGGATACCTTAAATGCTATGTACTCTAACGAAAAGAACGCCTTATATGAGAATTTATTCTGTCTTTGTCAAGAGGTTGCTTTGTTAGGATTACTTTGCATCACTCAAGGGGACAAGGGGCTAAATTTTGTTATACCATCCAATGCTATGTACTCTAATGAAGAATCTGATATGCACAATAATCTTACTATAGAATATATTCACAAATATTCTTAAAAAAAATATAAAAACAAATAAGGAACAACTATATTTCAAAATACATTAGCCGTGTGGCCTTTGTTTTCTTTACCAGTTACACCATGCAAAAGTGGGTATCTGATAAAAGAACACAAAGCTTTCTGACACAGTTTGTGATTTTGAAATAATTGGAGTTCTTTGTATTCTAACACAGTGGTTAAAACTGGACATATTCAGGAACTATTTGTAAAATTGACAAGAATAGCCAGCATTGCATCTGATATATTTGTTGGAAGGGAAAGGTTTGCCACCATTCTCTTGATGAGATTAACGGAAACCGTTATCTTATGGTTTTCCGAAGATCAAAACTTTTGGGATGAGCTCGAAACTGGGGAGAGGACGTTAGGACCTCTCGGACTTCAACAGGTTTCAATTTTCGTACCATTTTCAAATTTATTTCCATATTTATCGTTAATGTTGTTCAGAATGCATCAGAACTTCTCAGATGGATATGTGATTGTGGCAAAAAAAGATGTGAACCCTTGTTTTTTTTTTATTTATTTATTTATTTATTTTTTTTGCAGTTCTATTTGGATATGGAGTTTGTGATACTTTTTGCATCTCAAGGACGATATCTGTCTCGTAACCTGCATCAAGTGATGAAGAACATAATCGGTAGAGCTATTGAAGCCGTCCAGGCAAAAAATATCGATCCATACAGGTTTTTATTTATTTTATGTCCTTGCTAAATTAATATATGCACAGTGATAAAACTGCAAATCCTAATTCACGCAGGACAGAGATTTTGGACCAAACACTCAGAATATTGGGCAGTCACTGTTATATTTGCAAAAACCAAACTGCAAAGTTTTAGGTTTTACGTAGTCACAAGGCTTTGGGAATGTGTACAAGATATTTGCTGCCAACCTGATGTTACAACACTATTTTTGCAATATTGAATGTTCTTCCCTTTCTTTCTTTTTTTCTTTTTTTTTTTTTGGATTTCAGTGTGTTGCCCGAGGATGAATGGTTTGCTGATGTTGCCCAAATCGCTATAAAAATGCTGATGGGCCATGCAGACTTTGAAAATGCCGAGCGCGACATGAACAGTCCTACAGCCTCAATGTCGGCAAGATCTGTGTCATCAGCTCATTCTCACGGGAGCTCATAGAACATCAAAAGGTTTCACTGTTATAAAAAAGAGAGAGAAAAGAAAGAACACGACTTCATATACTCCATAAGTAGACTGGGAATATGCTTCAATATTTTCAATTCCTCGATTTTTGGTGTTTCAGGGCATCCAAACTCTTATTTATCTGAAGCGTCACTGGATTTCTTCCCCTCATTAACACAAACCTAAGAGTTTATTTTTCTTTTATTTTCTTTTCTTTTTTGGTATATTTTAAGTTTCTCCTTTTCTTAGTAAGTAGTAAAGTGCACGTGGTGGCGCATGCTTTTGGCGGATTAAGTTGAGGACGATATATTAATTAATTCATTAAACATATCACTGCATCAACAAATAAAATGTAGAACAAATGAGTTCCTAATATTTTTTTTTCAAATAACATAATATGTTCTAATATAAAGAGAATGAAATAACATATTACAATTTCAACAAAAATATATAGAAAATGAGTCCCTTATAAAAAAAAAAGAATCCCTTATAAATCCCTCCTATATATAATTTCTGAATGTGCTAAGTCTAAGTGGCAGACAGAGCCGGTCCAGGATCAGGGCGACCTAGGTTACGGCCCAGGGCCCGCAATTAAAAGAGGGGCACCATTAATTTAGTATACTTTGTATATATTTATGGCCCAAATAATAAGATTCAACATAAGTCCACTAATAATCTGCACTCCTGGCCCAAATAGAAAGGTTCACCACTCCACTAGACTAGACTCTAGTCCACTAAAAATAATATACACTGTCCTACACATCACACAATCTCAGCACATTTTATGAGTGAATGTTAGCGAAATATATATATATATATATATATATATATATATATTATATATAATTAAAGCCCCAAATTAACTAGACTACTCCGTCTCTGCAAACAAGAAGGAAGAGCGCGGCTGTTATTTATCCTCCATTCTCTAAATTTCGATCTTCTTGCATCGACTTATCATTTTCCCCCTATCTCTCCCATTCCAAAATTCCAACGCTCAAGGTAATTAATTTTATAGATTATAAATAGTATTTTCAATCTTTATTTTTCATACTCAGATTCAAATTCAATCCATATTTTTTAATCTATTTCATGTGCTTCAGTCATATTCATCACTCGACACTCATCGGCAAGATTGAACCTTTTCTTTATTTTGAAAAAAATTGATCAATTAAAATTTTTTTGGCCCTCTCATTGATGAAAAGTCGGCTATCCGTTTGTAGTCTACCTCGGCCGGCCCCGCTGTCTACCTCGCCCGGCTCGCCGTCCTCCACGACTGGGCCGAACTTCACCGCCGTCAGCGGCTTCCGGCGACCGCAGCGAAGTGAACAAAAAGGGGATCTTTTGATTTTTATATTCTTGATTTTTAGTTTGATATCTATTTTCTAAATTGGCTATTTATGTTAATTTCTTTGCTTGCTGTGATTTTATTTGTTTACTTGTTCTGTTAATTTATTTATTTTTTTGTTTGATTCAACATTTGACTAGGCACATATTGTAAGATTAGTATATTTTTATCATACTAATTTTTGGGATAAGTTTTGTTTGTGATTTCTATTTATGTGTTTAGGATAAATTGTGATAACTGTTAATTTGTTATTGACTTATTGGTTTGATAATTTGATTATTAGAAACTTAACTATCTGGACATCAAAAGAGGGAAAAACAAGAAAGAAAATGAAGTTATAATTGAGTCGTTAATAGGTTCAATAGATAAAATTATTCTTAAAAAGAATAAGAGTGATGTTACAATTAAAAGTAACACATATCGAAGATAATCATACTGAAGTTGAGTTGATAAATGATGAAGAAAATATAACTAATAATGATGAGAATGAAGGTACCAATAAGAATCAAAATGATAAAAATGAGGCTATAGCTTTTGAATTTGTTGGTGAAGAGAAAAAGTTTGTAAAAGAAGTACTTGGGGGCATTATTTTTATATTTTGCCCAGGGCCTTATAGTTTCCAGGACCGGCTCTGGTGGCAGACTTCATGCATCATGATCCTATTTGTCATAATTCTATATTTTGGATTGATACATAATTAACTTGGATGCCATGTTTTCATAATATATTAAATATTTTCTCTATTATTTTCATAATATATTAAATATTTTCTTGGATATAAAATCAATCCAAAAAATCCAATCATTTTTAACTCAACCATTTTTTTTAACTCAACCCCACTATCATTAATTTTAGCAATATAATTAAATAATATCAATCAATCATTCTTACACACAACATCAACCTTAATTCACTATTCATCAACTCACATAATTTTAACTAATCATCACATCACATCTTCTCTCTCTTACTTTTACATCAAATTAATTTTAATTATTTTATTTTATTTCAAGACAGACCTTTAACCCGGAAACAAGTTGTCAAGCCTCTGAATTGCGTTAGTAAACTTAAAATCGGTGTAAAGAAGATCCAAGATCAGCTTTGTGGCGAATACCAAGGACTCGTGTTTTTCACGTTCTTGGGATATAAAGGCGTTTGATCCGAAATCAAGGCGTTGACTCTCAGATTAACGTTAAATCAAGTCAAATAGAAGATCGAGCCGAATATTTCGCTCCAAGACTTAATAATCATTTTTAGAAGAATCAGATGAGAAAATAGAGATTCTAATCCACCAAATCCATTTGATTCGAGAAATTAAATTGTAGAATACATTTCGTGTTTATAAATTCAATACACGAAATTTGTTATTACAAATTTCTGGCACGCCCAGTGGGACATCTCTACCTCTAATCTCTTCTCCAAAATTCATCAAATCATCATGACTAGTTGCAAGATTGTCGTAGTTAAGGTTCCTACAACAAGTTCCTCAAGCTCCACCCAAGAAGCATGGCCAAACAGCTGCAAACATCTTCGGAGACGACTCCTTTGCATGAGGTGATCAGAAGTGATAAGCTGCATCTTAGCCACGAACGTGATAAAGACGACTCTGATTCCTCAACTCCTCGTTCAACATCAATGTAATGCCCCGTTTGATTATTGAATTTTTGGGAATTATTTATTATTATTATTATTATTATTATTATTATTATTATTATTATTATTATTATTATTATTATTATTATTATTATTTATCTTTATTTGTTGTTATAATTATTATTTGAATGCTAAATATTATTAAATGTCTAAAATGTATTATTTATCAACTTGCGATTAAATGTCTAATTGTCTAAATGATATTTACTTACCAAATTGTAATTAAATGCTTAAATGTCTAAATGTTATTATTATAAAATGTATGTATTTGTATTATTGTTAATATTACTATTTTATATTTTAATTGTGTGTATAATAATACCCGGCTTATTTATTTTATTGTGCGATTTAATTTCCGAGCCTCGTATAATTTTCGAGTCGGGTCCGAGAGAACTGACCGATTTTGATTATTTTCCGTAGCCATTGCGAGATTAATTTGGCCCAACCCAAATTATTTTGAATGATCCCATTTGGATAAATTTTGAGCCCATTTAAATTAAAGCATTTGGTCCATTCATGAGTTTTAACTCCTTGACCCAAAAGAAGTTGGAGTTCAACGTCAGATTTCCGTTCCTTCTTCCTCGCCGCGACCGAGTATTCTCCTTCCCGAATCAGAATTTCGTTGCGATTTTTTGAGAGATTCTCCATCGCACGTTCACCTCTCTTGTCCCTTGTATCTTGGCTGAGAGAAATCGGTTCGTTTGAAATCACATGAAGAAATTCCACATCTTTTTCCCTGCTCTCTCCCTCCCGCGGCTTTAAATTTAATTTCGTCGCCGGCATCTGCTATTTAATTCTGGCGACCCCCCTCAGTGAATAGCCGCTGATTTCCATTTTTAATTCGCGAACCCTTCCGCCAGAGCCGTTCCTTTCAGAGAAACATCGAGCCCTCGTTTCCCCAACTCGTCCGACCCCGAAGCTCAGTCCGCCAATCGATCCAGAAAGCCAGTCCATCGCCGTTCTTTTTCCGAGCTCAGTCACCGGCCATCGTCGAGGTCAGCGCCGTTCTCCGTTCGCGAGCAGCCATCTTGGTTTTGTTCATCGAGCCCGACCATTTCAAGTTCCGATCGTCCGATTTTTCCAACCGAACCCGAAGAAAGGTATTCTTCGATAAGTACCTTCTCGTAAATGGTTGTTCGGATTGGATATCGTTCGATTATTTCGTGATTATTCGTTGATTATATCGTACTCGTCTACTTGTTGATTATTGGCTCGTATAATTGTATGTTCGTCGGATTATGATTCGTGTCGTGGAATTTTTGGAATTCTCTCTCGTAGTTTTAATCGAGCCTTGTTGCTGTGTATATTATCGTGTTATTTGGAGTTCTCGTTTTGGGTACTCCCGAGTCGTCGTTGAATTTCTATTCGTTCATGAATTTTCATTCGATGTGTAGTCGTTCCGTATTTTTTCAAAAATTTTGACTTTTATAAAAATTCGATCAACCCGTACGAAATCGCTGTAAAAAAAATCTGTGGCGTGATGAAGTATATTTGCAAAACTTGCTCTGTTCTTGGAGGCGCTGCCAGAAAAATATATCTGTTCTTTTGTTCCCAGCAGGATTTTTTTTTTTTTTGTTTATTGTTTTAGTAATTATTGTTTGTCTTTTAAGTCGCAACCAAGCAAGTGGTGCGGTGGTGACCTGCGTTTACTTCCGTGCGTGAGGTCCCGTGTTCGAATCACTTCACCAGCAGCCCATTCTAATTTTTTCGCACAGCTCAGAATAACCCCTAGGCGCGCGGGCCGCTTGGCCCGTTTCCAGCACGCGCGCGGCCCGTTCCCCGTCAGCAGTTTCAGCCCACGTTTCGGCCCGTGTTCTCCCTCAAACTTGGCCCGCGATCAGCCCAGTCCAGGCACTTTTTACGGCCCAATTTTTTTGGTGCCAGGCCTAATATTTTCGCGGCCCAGTTTGTTTAGTGGCCAGAACCTTTGGGCAAGCTTCCAGCGCGGCCCAGCTCGTCTTCTTGGTCCTTTTTGAGTTCCGGAAGCCCGTTTTTACTA